TGAATGCATTTGCATCATCATAAAGCAACGTAGATTGGTTAACTTTTTTGTCAACAATATCATTTCTTTGAACTAAAGTCTCTAACATAGTGATAACTCCATCATGCATAAACGAATCCTTTTATACACAATGGTTAAGCTCAAATCAGAACAAAATGGCGTTCAATTAATCAAATAAATAATTAATTAAAATGTTTACCAGATTTAAATAGACAACAGAAAATATTGCATGAACATATTTTTCCATAATACACTCTGTAATTCCTGAACGAGTTAGAAGCGCCATGAATGGTAATATTACACGTTGAAAAGAAGCAACTGCTCCAGCAAGTCTAGATTTGTTGATGAATTTAAGGAAGATAGTCATTTTTATAAAATCATCAGTCAAATTACTCATAATACATACCCCGCGTCCACGGACATGGGAAACATGACGATTTCTCTTATACGGTTCAGGCCTTCGGACTGTCCTAATTCTTTTACAAGTTCTTCAACCTCGTAACCCATCGGCTTGTCTGCTTCTATAAGGCATGATGTAATAAAGTGTCTCATTTTATGTTGGTGTGTTAATTCTTTCTTTACAAATCTTTTCCATGCGCCTTTAAGCCCATCTCCTGGTGGGGTGAAAACGATTTTATCAGACCCACCATAAGACAATTCGGCGGAATTAAAGGTATTTGACAATGTTTTATACTGATTTTCCTCTATTTGATGTGGACTAGGTTTGATAGATGTCTCTTGAGGTTTTCGCGAACCTCCACTAGTGCAATCACGTGAAAAATGGCCCGGTAATCCACATTTAAAGCAGTTCTGCTTATTTTTACTATTTCCTCCTCTTGCGTTTCTTTTAATATTATGTTCTTGCGACATTTTTAAATAAAATATGAATGAAAAAATGACGCCTTTTTATTTTTTTTTAATTATCAGTGTTATTGTTAGCTTAAAAGGAAATTACGTAAAATAAGACGCATTACTAAAATTACATACGCCGAATTTCTTGTAATTGGTTAATTCAATATACTTTTACAATCTGACAGTAGGGATGGCAAATGATTTAAAACAGAATGTTTTAAATCAGTTTTATATTGCTTTAAAATGATTTTTTACATGTTTTAAAACATCGTCACTGATAAATTCGAATCTTCCGACTTTTGACTTTGTAACACAAACTGATTGCATATTTCGATTAAGAAATAAAAAATTCATGGCGACACTGAAGTTGAAATTAACCAATTATATACAGTAATTTTAGCTTCATCCATCAGCGCCATAATCTAAAACATTTTATTAAATCAAGTTAAAAAACATAAAAATCAATAAAAAGCGATTTTTTACCATCCCTATCTGACAGTAAACAAATTGTATCCCCGTAACGTGATTCATCTTACGTACGGTGTTACGAAAAATTTTGACAAATTTTCCTTTTGCATGTATATTAATATTCGCTGTGTAGTTTGTGAAATTAGAAGCTTTGCCCGGTTTGTCGATCATCATGCACGATTCGTGTGTAACGTCTACGTGACCAACACTATTTACCCCGCCAAATTTGGAAATTACCAATCAGCATCTATTACGTCGAATTTACATGAACGATCAATGTGTAACGTTAAAATATCGGTTTTTTAAAAAATCGCTTATATCTTGAAATTTCGCTTATGAAACTAACTAACTTCTGCGTTCTAGCAAAAAAAAATTCCTTGTGAAATTTTAGTATAGTTATTTCTTTTAAAACCTAGGGATGGGCAAATCGAAGATTTTTTGAATTTACTGCGCAGGCTGCGCAGCCTGCACAGCCTGCACCCTCTAGGAGTCTAGGGTTCATGATTACG